TGCAGAGCAAGTAAAAGAATTCCAAACACTCTGTGTTAACTTTTTTAAGGATCACCCAGATGATATAATCGGTAATAAAAAGGAATGTATGTATTTAAACATGGCCTCCTCTCTCTCTCCTCTATAAATAGGTGTTCATTGTACTCATGGTTTCAATAGAACTGGTTTCCTGATAGTCTCATATCTAATTGACGTTGAATGCTGGGAGTAAGGAATATATCTACCAAAAATACTTTATTATTATGCTGCTTTAATTCAATTCACACACATAATAGTTTAGAATCTGCTGTTGCAACATTCAGTATGGTAAGTACTAACGTATTGTACCTACACGTATGTTAATGTTTTTATTTGCAGGCCAGACCACCTGGAATATATAAAGAGCATTATTTACACGAGTTAGCCGGACGATATGCTGACGGTGACATTGGCAGTATTGTCGCTCCTCCATTACCTGAGTGGTGCTTTGAGGAAGATGAGGTGGACAGTGGAGGAGAAGGAGGAGGAGGAAAAGGAGAGGAAGGACAAGACAGGAAAGGAAAGAAGAGGAAAATAGAACAAAACAATGATGTGAGTTTGGGAAAAGAGTAAAATATAAGTAACTATTAGAATTACTATTGATGGAGTATTAACGTTATTGTAAGATATGAAATTGTGAGTCTTCTTCGTGCCTATAGAGTGCACAGTTTGCTGTACCTCTTCATGGAGTGGAATTAGTCCTTGGCCCAACACGAGAAGAAGTACAGATAGCATGTCAGGAAGCATTAGACTGGGAAGAGTGAGTAAACAAACAAACAAACAAACAAACAATGATGAATCTAGGTCTGGGTTTCCTGGCAGTCAGCCGGTCAGTATGGATGTACAGAACATTAGGTTTTTAAATGAAAAACCATATCGTGTTAGCTGGAAAGCTGATGGAACAAGGTAAATATTACCAATAGTTATATACTATTCTCTCTCCCCCTCTTTCTCTAGATATATGCTTTATATAAAGGGCAAAGGTCAAATATATTTAATAGATCGGGACAATTCAGTTTTTAATTCACCAAATATTACATTTTTATCACGAAAAAGAGAGGGAGAGCACCTCAGAGACTGTGTAGCTGATTCGGTAATTTCATTATTATACTTACTGTTAGCTCTCCTAATTTTTAAAGTTGCTCCAAAATCGGGTTAAAGTCCCTGTGGTCTTTGGCTAAATTTCAGCAAAAATGACTAGGAGAGAATTCTTCATTTTAATAATATTTTCTGATACATATACATGTACTTACGTTGTGTAGAAAGTTTGAGCTGATTCCGATCAAGTTTAGATTTTTTATGAATTTTTAAAGTTGCTCCAAAATCGGGCCAAAGTCCCTGTACTATATATAGTACAGGGTCATCGGCCAAATTTTGCCAAAAATGACTAGGAGAGAATTCTTCATTTTTATAATTTTTTCTGATGCATATACATGTTCTTATGTTGTGTAGAAAGTTTGAGCTCATTCCAATCAAGTTTGGATTTTTTACGAATTTTTAAAGTTACTCCAAAATATTTTGCCAAAAATGACTAGTAAAGAATTCTCCATTTTATACGTGCTCATATGACACTTGTAGGAGCTGGTCCTTGATAAAGTGGACGGAGTGGTCCGACCTCGCTTGCTGATATATGACATCATGATGTTTGAAGGAAGTAAAGAAGTGGCAAGATGTGACCATCAGAGACGAATGTTGTGCATTGAGAGAGAATTGATAATGCCAAGAGAAGAAGCTGTGAGTAATGATACCTTAGACCTTAGATACTGTTCTTTAATTTAGGCAAAAAGAGGTATTATTGATAAAATCAGGGAGCCATTTTCTGTCAGAGCAAAGCAGTTTTGGGATGTCTCAGAATCAAGAATGGTACGTACTGATTACTGCTGACTTGTGGTCCTATTAAAATTCTATTTTCTTCTTCTCAATAGATTTTAGAGAGCTATGTGCCAAAGCTTACTCATGAAAACGATGGTCTTATTTATAATCCAACAAATGAAGTAAATTTGACTTAATTTAATTTTTAAGTCTGTTTTTTTGCTGTGTACTTGTTTAGCCATATAAACCTGGGCAATGTCAAGATCTACTGAAATGGAAGCCTCCAGAACTGAACACTGTAGACTTTCGCTTGAACATAATCTCAGAGCAGAAAGTTGGGTAATTCAACTATTCATTGACCGTAGCCCCTCAAGTTAATAGTTGAGAGCTCGTTGGGCCCCTTTTATAATTATTAATGATCATAAATTTGTAAATTTCTTTTATTTATTTTATTTAGCATGTTGCAAGAGAAGAAAGCTCAATTGCTAGTTGGATCAGGGAGATACACTGTCCTATTTAGTTTCCTAGACCTTCACGTGAATAAAGAGGCCAAAGAACACAATAATAAAATCATCGAATGTTCCTTCGTTAATAATATGTGGAAGTTTCTAAGAGTTAGAACCGATAAAAGTTTTCCGAATTCTTTTGAAACAGCACGAAGTAAGTATATAATGTAAGAGTCATGTAAAGTATAAATATTGGCCATAATTTAATTTTATTTATTTGTTATTTTCAAGGTGTCTGCATGAGTATAAGGCAACCAGTAACTAAGCAATGGCTACTTGAGGTGTGTGAGAAGTATCGCTGGGGGATTGATAAAGGAAGAGCCAA